CAGTGGTGTGACTGTGCCTCACTACAACCTCCACCTCTCAGGTTCAATCAATTCTCCTGCCTCAGCCTCCTAAGTAGCTGGGATTACAGGTGTGCGCCACCAGGCCTGGCTAATTTTTGTATTTTTAGTAGAGATGAGGTTTCACCCCATTGGCCAGGCTTCTCTTGAACTCCTGACCTCAAGTGATCCGCCCACCTCCACTTCCCCAAGTGTTGGGATTACAGGTGTGAGCCACTGTGTCTGGCCTAATTTTTGTATTTTTGGTAGAGACAGGGTTTCACCATGTTGTCCAGGCTGGACTCAAACTCCTGAGCTCAAGTGATCTGCCCACTTCAGCCTCCCAAAGTGCTGGGATTACAGGCATGAGCTACTGTTGCTTCGCTCTTATTGCCCAGGCTGGAGTGCAATGGCATGATCTCGGCTCACTGCAACCTCCATCTCCTGGGTTCAAGCCGTTTTCCTGCCTCAACCTCTCGAGTAGCTGGGATTACAGGCACCCACTCCCACACTTGGTTAATTTTTTGTATTTTTAGTGGAGACGGGGTTTCATCATGTTGGCCAGGCTGGTTTCAAACTCCTGACCTCAAGGGATCCACCCTCCTCAGCCCCTCAAAGTACTGGGATTACAGGGGAGAACCACAGCGCCAGGCCCAGAATCCATTTTGAAGTGGAGCCAACAGGATTTGCTGCTGGGTGTTGTGAGGGTGGGAGGAGTCAGGGATGACCCACGGATGTTGGCCCGAGCAGCTGGAGGAAGTGACTTGCCATGAGCTATGGGCACAGCCGGAGCTGGCTTTGTTGACTGTTTTATCTAATGCTGACCAGCCACTGACCTACTCTTCCCACAGATACATTGGGAGTATCACACCGAGGGCCCACGGGCTTCGCTGGTCTGAGACCAAGTGCCCTTTCTCTTGAAGTGTTTACATAATGTCTGCTTCAATGCACTGTAGCTGGTGTTCACTCTAGAGTTTCACTCTCAGGAGGAAATTTATTCCACAGCTGTAGCTGCGCATGTCTACCCAAAGATACTCACTCGCTGTTACCAACTCCTAGGATTCCTTACGACTATATGTCTTTGAACTTCATCTGAGGCTTCTATACTCTGTAGCTTTGACGTGGCCCTCCTCTGCTACCTTTGGTGATTCTCAGGGGCTAGTACAATTCTTTTTTTTCTTTCTTTTTCTTTTTTTTTGAGATGGAGTCTTGCTCTGTTGCCCAGGCTGGAGTGTAATGGCTGTGATCTTGGCTTACTGCAACCTCTGCCTCCTGGGTTCAAGCGATTCTCCTGCCTCAGCCTCCAGAGTAGCTGGGATGACAGGCATGCGCCACCACGTTCAGCTAATTTTGTATATTTAGTAGAGATGGGATTTCACCATGTTAGCCAGGCTGATCTCGAACTCCCGACCTTAGGTGATCCCCCTGCTTTGGTCTCCCAAAGTGCTGGGATTAGGGGCATGAGTCACCGCGCCCGGCCTTCTTCTTCTTTTTTTTTTTGAGACAGAGCTTCACTCTTGTCGCCCAGGCTGGAGTGAAGTGGCGCAATCTCAGCCCACTGCAACCTCCGCCTTCCAATTTTCAAGCGATTCTCCTGCCTCAGTCTACCAGGTAGCTAGGATTACAGGGGCCCACCCACCACACCTGGCTAATTTTTTGTATTTTTAGTCGAGACAGGGTTTCACTGTGTTAGCCAGGACGATCTTGATCTCCTGACCTCATGATCTGCCCGCCTCGGCCTCCAAAAGTGCTGGCATTACAAGTGTGAGCCACCACGCCCAGCCTTTGTATTTTTTAGTAGAGACAGGGTTTCACCATGTTGTCCAGGCTGGTCTTGAACTCCTGACCTCGTGATCTGTCTGCCTTGGCCTCCGATGTGCTAGGATTACAGGTGTGAGCCTCGGCGCCCGGCTTTTGTTGTTGTTGTTGTTGTTGTTGTTGTTGGGTTTTTTCTTTTCTTTTTTTTTTTTTTTGAGAGACAAGATCACCCAGACTAGGGTACTGTGGAGCAGTCATAGCTCACTGCAGCCTTGAACTCCTGGGCTCAAGCCATCCTTTTGCCTCAGCCCCCTGAGTAGCTGGGACTACAGGCACACACTATTACACCAAATTTAGTAGCTATAGCACCCATTGTTAGCTCACAATTGGGTAGGACTGTAATGGTTTGAGCTGTGACTTGTTCCCCCCACTAAATTTGCATGTTGAAGTTCCAACTCCTACTACCTCAGAATGTCATCTTATTTGGGGATAAGTTCTTCTCAGAGGTAAACAAGTTAAAATTAAGACATCAGGCTGGGCCACATTCCAATATGACGGGTGTCCTTAGGAAAAAGGGAAATTTGCATATACACATCCAGAGAGAACGTCAAATAGAAATGATGTGGTTATTTATTTACTAAGTTGGAATTTCGCTCTTGTTGCCCGGAGTGGAGTGCAATGGCATGCTCTCGGCTCACTGCAACCTCCATCTCCCGGATTCAAGCCATTCTCCTGGCTCAGCTTCCCGAGTAGCTGGGATTACAGGTGCCCACCACCACACCTAGCAATTTTTTGTATTTTTAGTAGAGATGGGGTTTCATCATGTTGGCCAGGCTGGTTTCAAACTCCTGACCTCAAGGGATCCACCCTCCTCAGCCCCTCAAAGTACTGGGATTACAGGGGAGAACCACAGCGCCAGGCCCAGAATCCATTTTGAAGTAGAGCCAACAGGATTTGCTGCTGGGTGTTGTGAGGGTGGGAGGAGTCAGGGATGACCTACGGATGTTGGCCCGAGCAGCTGGAGGAAGTGACTTGCCATGAGCTATGGGCACAGCCAGAGCTGGCTTTGTTGACTGTTTTATCTAATGCTGACCAGCCACTGACCTACTCTTCCTACAGATACATTGAGAGTATCACAATGAGGTTCCACCAAGGGCTTCACTGGTCTAAGACCAAGTGCCCTTTCTCTTGAAGTGTTTGCATAATATCTGCTTCAATGTACTGTATGTGGTGTTCACTGTAGAGTTTCACTCTCAGGGGGAATCTTATTCCATGACTGTAGCTGCACATGTCTTCCCAAAGATACTAACTTGCTGTGTTACCAACTCCGAGCATTCCTTACGAGTGTATGGCTTTGAACTTCATCTGAGGCTTCTATACTCTGTGGCTTTGACTTGGCCTTCCTCTGTTACCTTTGGTGATTCTCAGGGGCTGGTACAATGTTTTTTTTTTTTTTGAGATGGAGTCTTGCTCTGTTGCCCAGGCCAGAGTGCAATGACTGTGATCTTGGCTTACTGCAACCTCTGCCTTCCAGGTTCAAGTGAAACTCATGCCTCAGCCTCCTGAGTAGCTGAGATTACAGGCGCCCGCCACCATGCCCAGCTAATTTTTTTTTGTATATTTAACAGAGATGGGGTTTTACCATGATGGCCAGGCTGGTCTCTAACTCCTGATCTCAGGTGATCTGCCTGCCTCAGCCTCCCTAAGTGCCGTGATTCCAAGCGTGAGCCACCGCACCCGGCCTCTGTTGCCCAGGCCAGAGTGCAATGACTGTGATCTTGGCTTACTGCAACCTCTGCCTTCCAGGTTCAAGTGAAACTCATGCCTCAGCCTCCTGAGTAGCTGAGATTACAGGCGCCCGCCACCATGCCCAGCTAATTTTTTTTTTTTTGTATATTTAACAGAGATGGGTTTCCTACCATGATGGCCAGGCTGGTCTCTAACTCCTGATCTCAGGTGTGATCTGCCTGCCTCAGCCTCCCTAAGTGCCGTGATCTTCCAAGCGTGAGCCACCGCACTCCGGCCCTCTCTCTCTGTGTTTTCACATCATCTTTCCTGTGTGTGTGTGTCTCTGTGTCCAAATTTCCCCTTTTTGTGAGGACACCAGTCATACTGGATTAAAGCCCACCCTAATAACTTCATTTTAACTTGATGACCTCTGTCAAACTTCCATTTCCAGGCTGGGCATGGTGGCTCATGCTTGTAATCCCAGCAGGTCAGGAGGTCCAGGCAGGCAGATCACCTGAAGTCAGGAGTTCAATAACAGCCTGGCCACCACGGCAAAACCCCATCTCCACTAAAAATACAAAAATTAGCTGGGTGTGGTGGCTGGAACCTGTAATCCCAGCTATTCAGGAGGCTGAGGCAGGAGAATCACTTCAACCCGGGAGGTGGAAGTTGCAGTGAGCCAAGATCGCACCATTGCACTCCAGCCTGGGTGACAAAAGTAAGGCCCCATTTAAAAAAAAAAAAAAAGTCAACTCAGACTGTGCTGTTCGTATTTATTCAGTAACTCATCAAAACATCTTCTAGGGGAATTACTAGCACAGGAATTTCTACTCTCCATCCGGCGTTGCTCTCCATTCGGCATTGCTACTTGTGTTCTTGGAAATGCTGCCTGACGGCTCTGTTAGTTTCCAAATTTGTGAAACGGACATGAGGGCCCTCTGCTCGTGGAAGGTGCTGGTGGATTAACAGTTACCACCATCACTGGGGCCCTGTTCAGCTCATCTTTGATGCTTCATGCGCGTGGCACACCCTCACCACCTTTTCCTTGTCT